CATAATAATATTCTCCGCCTACCTCCTCCCCTTGTTCCTCGCCCTCCTCTCCTTCCTCATTGTCCTCATCATCAACACATTCATGCTCAGATCGGTCGTCACAGATACCTCTTCAGCGGAGGCTTCCCACTCTCCCAGACAGCGGCCTCATTTGTACAGCAGCAGCATGATGACTGCACCCCTGGTGGGAGTCAGGGATCTACTCCGCTGCCAAGCTCACAACCTTAGAGAACGACGCCGTTGCTCCCAATACATGCGAGCCAAGAACAGTACATACCATACTTGCGGCGCACTGGTGCGGTGCGCTGTGCGGTGCGGCGCACTGTGCGATGTGCGCACCTTCCCCGAAGCGTGCGCAGTGCGCCGTGCGTCATGCGCCGCGCGCAGTGCGCTGTGCGCACGCTGAGGCAGATGCGCCCTGTGCGCAGAAAAAAAAAATTAAAAAAATCATATGTACGTGCCCCCTAGAGAGAGAGAGAGAGAGAGAGAGAGAGAGAGAGAGAGAGAGAGAGAGAGAGAGAGAGAGAGAGAGAGAGAGAGAGAGAATGACCAAAGGGTCCCTTTCCTTTTTTTTATTTATTTGAGGCCCCTGCAGGTAACTCCAATGGCATTGAGGGCCAATGCTTCCACGAGCAGGATGGCGTCGTCACATGTGGACGAGGAGGGAGCACCACGAATATATGCTGTGGGTTCGAGTTCAGGGCTGTAGCTCGGCAGTTATGGGTCACCAATTCAGCTTAGACCCTGTTCGTGTCTCCACGTGATTCTCTGCGCCTCCCTCCACCACTCACCAAATGTATAACCTTAGAATGAATCTTCTGGTAAAACAAGGAACCATACACCGCCATATGCTATGTCTTTTGTGCATGTGGTGAGTAGTGGAGTGAGGCCACTTGGGCCACTGTACGTGTTCATAAGAAAACAAAATCAAAAAAACGAGAGAGCTACAGGCATCTTCATTAGAATGAATCTTCTCGTAAAACACGGAACCATACACCGCCATATGCTATGTCTTTTGTGTATGTGGTGAGTAGTGGAGTGAGGCCACTTCGGCCACTGTACGTGTTCATAAGAAAACAAAAACAAAAAAACGAGAGAGCTATGGGCATCTTCATTTGAATGAATCTTCTGCTAAAACACGGAACCATACACCGCCGTATGCTGTCTTTTATCCATGTGGTGAGTAGTGGAGTGAGGCCCCTTGGGCCACTGTACGTGTTCATAAGAAAACAAAAAACAAAAAACGAGAGGGCTACAGGCATCTTCATCCTGACCCATAACTGGCGACGTGCAGAACTGAATGCCAATCTTTACGATGTATAGGTGGTCGGCTGCCCTTTTTCAACACAACTGCTGGCTGCGACGTTGCGGAGTGGGGCACGTCGGCACTAGGCTCTTCTCTCTTCTTGCAAATTTCTTCCACTACTGTGGGGTATTTTCAGAAGGGAGGGGGTTAGGCCTGTTTTCACAAGCCACCAGAAAAAGAAAAAGGAATGAAGTTATGAGCCCAATTTTCATGATTCGCCATTTCGGACTGCAGATTTGGAACATCAGATTGAATTGAGAAGTTCAAATTGAGAAGGTCGAGAAAAAAATTTGCGGGCCTTGGCGCGGCCCAAAATTTTTTTTTCGCGGGCCCGGTTCCAATTTTCCCCCCCCCCCCCCCGAACTCCTGGAACCCGACCCGCAATTTTTTTTTTTTCTGGTACCCTGCAATTTCGACCATGCGCCGCGCGTCGTGCGGGCGCTGCTTGCGCGCTGCGGCCTGCGCCGTACGTGCGCAAGTGCCGCGCACGACGTGCGCCGCAAGTATGGTACATACTGAGTTCGCTGTCCACAATGTGGAGATGATTCTTAAGGCCTGTATGTGCACAAGATACGAGGCGCAGCCACCTGTGCAGCATTTGCACGACTGGCAGCCACTCTTTAAGTATGATTGCGGCTGATCAGCTTCTGGCTTTTGGATCTGAACCCATACTTCTAATCCACTTTGCACCGGTTGCTCCCCCATCCCAAATGACAATCATCCACCCTCTGGAGATGATCTGTCTCCTTAACCCGTACTAGAGCCAATGTAGTTGTTACTCGCTGACAATGACTGTCATGATTGGAGTGAACCCCCCACCCCCACCCCCCCCCCCCCCCCCCGCCTCTGCCGCATCGTGCAATCTGGAGAGTCAAAGCGATCTCGCTGTGCTACAGCAAGGTCACTATGTGTACGATGTCATTAATGAGTGTTTCCTCAATTATATTTGAAACCCTACACTGTTTCTGATCTTGCAGAATTATCCGCTGGATAGAAGAGGATCACCGTGTCATTTCCCCAGAGGATGACAGTACTGTGGCTGGCGTGAACATGGACGTGCTGTCTATTACAATTATGGAAGGATGGCTGCAACTCCAGCCCGCTCCGCAGAATCATCTGCATGATATGGACCCGAATATTCGTGTGTGCATATCCTTCATCCCCTGGATCATTTCAGAGCTGTTACTTAGCGGATAATTCATGGACGCTGTAGGATAATGGCAGTAGGATGCGGTCAGTGGCTAACATGACTGACTACTATCACCGAGTGCCGGAATCCCACTCACTCTGGCTTGTGAAGTAGGACCATTGTGAGATGTGCTCTCCAAGCTCTGTGTCTCCAGAGATGCACAATTCTGTTATCACATGTGCACGGCATAATCTACGGTACAAACACTATGAAGGGATGGTCCCTGCCAGCCTCTGCAAAGAAATCTGTGACCCGTTGTCTTGCGCACATCCCGTCCTCCCCTTTATTGCTAGCCCGATAGGCCGCTGTGACCTTGAGATGTCATGCGTGAATAACTGCCAATGCGAGCCTGCTTTCCCGCTGCCATATCAGCAACATGCCATGTGTTGTCAATGTCTTCAGGAGGCTGTAATGGAGAGTATGTGTCTGTACTGGGTGGACTATCCCCGATGCCATTACCCACCGCATCCTCTTCGTTCATATCCGCATTGGCCATATGACGGCTGCATCCGTAATCGGACCCTCTACGCCTCGCCAGATGAGGAAGAGATGCAGCAGCCTGAGGTGGAGAACGAACTCTCGCATGAACCATCTGCAATGCGCCATGCTGAAAGGTTAGTTCTTCCGAGGCTAGCAATTGCACACCATATCGTTTGACAGCAAAACACCCTTACTTTGGATTAGGCCCCATCATGGCCTGCCCATTGAGAGGGGATATCGGCTGCAGAACCCCAAAAAACTTGCAGAATGCCGCACTGTGATGGCTCACCTGAGATTCAGCCCATGCAAGTCTTTTTTTATATAAGTATGATGACAGTGAACGTTGCACTCATGTACGACACCCTGACATGGCATGTCCTAATTGTAGGCTTGTAGCAAGGGGCTGGAGCAACAATCCCTATACGATTGGGGTCGACATGCCTCTGTGTTCGTAGCATGTGAGAGGCATGTTGCCTGTGACATCTGTGTACGCCGTATGGCATCCATTCGATGCAGCAACTGCAATTGCAAGAATTGGGTGCGGTGCTTCCACAGTCCACACTTGAAACCGGAGCTATACGGTCTGCAGGGGCGGGCACCCTCATGAGAGTGCAGCTCCGAGGACTCACGAGTGCAGTTCTGAGGACTCACGAGTGCCCTTCCGAGGACTGTGATCGAGCCATTTTTCTCTGTGCGATTAAACAACCACTACCTTTCAGGCTGGAAGGCGAAGTCGTAAATATAACCTATATAGTATACACTGTATACAGCATTCTTCAGAGGTCGGCAGAGGCCGGGCACTACTCGGCCAAAAAGGCTTGCGGCCCCAACCAAAATGAAACAAAAAATGCCGTGCTGGCGCTTCGGCCAAAGCTTGGCGCGCAGTTCTACTCCGCCTCGGCAGAAAGAAGCTCGGAGGTAGTGGTGGTTTAAAGTGCAGCTGCTGCGGCATTGGGATGTTGCGCCCTGTGCACTGTACTTTGAGGTCGTAATGCTACCTACAGACCCTGGTAGGATGACCCCCTTGCCTGGCCAGCTTTTAATGAACCTGCCTGCCGACTGATCGGCTCGACAGTGATGTACATTTAGAAGGCTGCCACTCTATGGTCTGCCTTTATAGCAACAGTAGTGTGAGGCACTGTGAGCTGCTGTCTTTCTTTGAGGTCTGGCTAAAGTCCCTGGGGCAGACGAACGGGCCCATGAACCGTGGAATTCCAGACCTCAGTTTGAATCCAGATGGAATGACTTGAGTAAAATAACTCTGAATTAACCTGGTCAGTTCTAAGATGAAATCTCAAGGCCGCTGCCCTTTGGAAAAAAAAAAAAAGATGTATCTGGGGAACACCAGTGGCCACTCCTCTTGCGCCCGAAATCGACATCACTTTGGTGGCAGTTTGACATCGGCAACCCCCTTTTGACATGAAATCCGTGCTGCGCGTTTGTTCATGACAGGTGCTCCCAATGATGCAATGTCTTCCCTGGGGGGTCCATTCAGGTGCGGATTCCAGCTGTGACCAGATGGAGGTAGCATAAATAGACTGAAATAGACTGAAGTATACTGGAGACTTGGGGGAGCGAGAGAGCATGTTTTCTTTTTGAAAGAAGGCTGTTGAAGGATCAGAGAGAGAGGAGGGCGTTTCTCGTGGATGGGGTGCTCTTTTGTTCATCTTTGATGTCACGTTCGCGTTGATGTAAAGACTTAGTGGTTATGCCTTCCGTCCCTACTGTCCTACTGAATGTGGCATTCCCACTCTACGTTTACGGTTGTGGATCCAATTCTTTTGTTGGGGGGGGGGGCATGGGCTCCCTGGCTGTCTTTGATCTCCTGATTTTTTATTGTTTTTTTTTTTTTGGGGACCATTTGTCGATTTATGCAAGTCACTCCTTGCACAGAGGCCCTGCTTAACTGCTCTGAATGCTTCCGATTTTGAAGAATGTAACAACGGAGGACTTCTGCAATCTTTTCTAACCCCGGCTGTGCTTTTTTTTTTTTTTTTTTTTTTTTTTTTAATCTCTGCGTACCAGGTGCCAATCTTCAGGGCTGCGAGTACTGCCTTCTCTTTCAGCATTGACAAAAATCTGGGGTCAGTAGAGCATCCTTCTTTTTGAAGAAGCAGTTCAAGCCGGCAAGATGTCGTGGCTGGACCGCATGCAGATGAGGTTCGAGGAGACGGGGCGGGACACTTCCCTGTTGCTTCAGGTATATTGCTATGATCCCAGACAGACGTCAGTGAATACGAACAGTAGAGTCAGACAATATTGCCAAACTGCAGAAACGACCAGAACTATGATTTAAGCAGGTCAAACATAATTATTGTTATTTGAATTTTGAACACAATAAGAGGAATGGAGGCAGGTCAGACATCATTATTGTTATTTGAACTCGAAAAGCCTGATGCATGCGCCGATTAATACCACCTGGGGAAAACAGCCTGCAGGCAGACGAATCTACTCTGGATCGACCTCACATGCGCCATTCATTTGTGGTTGTCCACGTTAGCACGATGGAGAGCTATCGCCGAGTCTGATTTGCTGCCACAACTGTGGCAGGAGCCATTCCCTGGGAAAAGAGGCAAGGTGGTGGAATTGAGGAATGATGTGTGGAAGTAGTAGGCACCTGGCAGAGGACGAAGCGATGGGCATATGGCTACGCTCGAGTATGCTCGAGAGAAGAGCAGCCATACCAGCATTCAGCTTGTCTATGCTGGCATGAAGGAGCAGCAGTAACTGTTGAGGGTGTCTAACGGAACTGTTGAGGGTGTCTAACGGAGGCTTCCATCAACAATGTGAGAAGAAATGTCAGAGTTGGTGGACTTCAGCGTTATGTCTCCGACGTGCTTTTGGGCGGGGGGGGCGCGGGGAGGAGGGGGGCTGCTGTCAGCGTATTCAAGGGTGAATTCAGAGTGGGATGTTTTTTCGCTGAGTAACTGGCGATTAGTGTAGTATGGAAACCAGGGAGGGACTGCTCATGCTTGAACAGCCTGCTGCTCTTGAACTGTTCTTCTATTGTTAAGGTGGTTTCAGATATCCTCCTGTGTAGGGAAGATGGCGCTGGTTAAAGCTGGCATGACAACCTCTGTGTGGTTATTGGCTTCAAATCATTTGTGCACTGCCTTGAGTTTTTCTTGGCTGTGTGAGATCACAGGACTCAGCTATGGGTCCGTGAAATTTTGCGGGCGATGGAACACAAGCAATTGAAAAAATGGAAATGTCGAACTACTAAAGCACATTGCATGTGTTGCCTAGGCTGGGCTGCCGCCCGGCCAGGCGGGCCCGGGGGGGTCCGCCCAAGAAATCCAGGCGGCCGGAATACCCAGCAGGGAATTTTTTTTAATTTTTTTTCCCGAAGGCGGGGTTTTGCTGCGCTACCCCAGAGGGGGTCCGCCCAGGAAATCCAGGCAGCCCGAAAATGCAGCACGGAGTTTTTATTTTTTTCCCGAAGGCGGGGTTTTGCTGTGCTACCCCAGAGGGCCCCGAATGTGCAGTAAAAAAGGA